AGTATACAGTATACAGTGCTGCACCGTCACAGAAATCACTGTGATAATTAACCAACTTTGAATTAGCGCTTCCCCAGAGCAACATTATTCATTACAATATAATGACTGCTTAACAAAGCTCATTTGCACATTACCATCTAACAGCACTGTTATGTGTGTGTGACAAAGTATATGCAGTGGCTTTGGAAACACCTGCTGGCTGGTTAGCGTGTATAGCACTGTTTCATTATCACCCTGTCAAGATTTTGTTTAACGGTTAGGATTTCTAGCTTGCTACGCATCAATTACAGAGCATGGAGAGAGTTGCACATGCTGCGTACATGTCTAGTGCATGAGAGAGAACTTGACTAAATTGCGGCAACAGGACCAAATTGTGAATTTAATTTATGGCTATTTATTGTTATATCATTCTAAATGTGTCAGCCAGCTCAAGTGAGCCTAAATAATGAAGTCTTTTCATTGCAAACCCCTTGCTATTCATCTGACTGATCTTGATTACACACCTAAGGGAATAATAGCCAAAAGCAATAACAATTTATTTCAAAACATTTTTCCTGCCTGCTTTGTTCTGGGAAAACTGGCAGGTTGTGCTGGATTCGGATTTTGCTGCTGTTTCCATAGCGTGGATTTGACAAATGGCTTCATTATGCTCCTGCTGTTCTGGAAGGGTATGATAGTACAGTACAAATCAGCTTGTTTGTCCTTATAACAGACCTGAAAACCTGGGTCAGAGAGAACCCTGTCAGGTGAACTGAGGTGCTTGCTTTTGAAGGGGTGGTCAAAATCCCTTGCCTCTTCAGTATATATGTCACCGGGGAGGCCGGACGCCGGATGACCGGCCGTCCCAACCCCCTCCGACACACGTGCCACCGCGAGGAGCCAACACCACAGAGGACACAGAGGCCAAGTCAGTTAGAGAAAATCACAGTCTTTATTGAATAAATTAAGTTAAAACGGCCTCCAGCCAGCTGAAGGAAGGTGAAGTTTCAGCCGTATAGCTGGCTCTTCTCAAAACTCAGGTAGGCAGAGCAGGTGAGGGTTCACAGCTGGACTGGTTCTCTCGAATTCACAGCAGAACAGTTTCTCTTTTCACAGGATTCGGATGGACGGAGAAGAGTACGGAATCCACAGCCAAGCTGGCCCTCTTCTCAGGACCCAGGCCGACAGAAGACAGGTGAGGATTCAACAGCATAACTGGTTCTCTCAGTTTCACAGCAAAGCTGGCCCTCCTCTCAGGACCCAGGCCGACAGAAGACAGGTGAGGATTCAACAGCATAACTGGTTCTCTCAAGTTCCACAGCAAAGCTGGCCCTCTTCTCAGGACCCAGGCCGACAGAAGACAGGTGAGGATTCAACAGCATAACTGGTTCTCTCAAGTTCCACAGCAAAGCTGGCCCTCTTCTCAGGACCCAGGCCGACAGAAGACAGGTGAGGATTCAACAGCATAACTGGTTCTCTCAGGTTCCACAGCAAAGCTGGCCCTCTTCTCAGGACCCAGGCCGACAGAAGACAGGTGAGGATTCAACAGCATAACTGGTTCTCTCAAGTTCCACAGCAAAGCTGGCCCTCTTCTCAGGACCCAGGCCGACAGAAGACAAGTGAGGATTCAACAGCATAACTGGTTCTCTCAGGTTCCACAGCAAAGCTGGCCCTCTTCTCAGGACCCAGGCCGACAGAAGACAGGTGAGGATTCAACAGCATAACTGGTTCTCTCAAGTTCCACAGCAAAGCTGGCCCTCTTCTCAGGACCCAGGCCGACAGAAGACAGGTGAGGATTCAACAGCATAACTGGTTCTAGTCTCAGGATCTAGCTGAACAGGGAGGAGTAAGGATTCAACAGCGAAGCTGGCTCTCTTCACGGGGCTCAGGCAGACAGAGAATACAGGTGAGAATTCAACAGTGTCACTGGTTCTACTCACAGGATCCAGCAGAACATGGAGGAATAAGGATTCACCAGCAAAGCTGGCTCTCTTCACGGGGCTCAGGCAGACAGAGATTGACGGTGCGGGTTCAACAGTGTAGCTGGTTCTACTCATAGGATCAAGCAGCACATGGAGGAGTAAGGATTCAACAGCAAAGCTGGCTCTCTTCACAGGGCTCAGGCAGACAGAGAGTACATGTGAGATTTCAACAGTGTAACTGGTTCTACTTACAGGATCCAGCAGAACATGGAGGGGTAAGGATTCAACAGCAAAGCTGACTCATGCAGGCAGAGTGTCAAGCTGGCAATTCAACAGCAAACTGAACTTCACAATCCTACGTAGAGATTAAAGAGGAGAAAAGAAGAATTTCACCACTAGATGACTTCCTCCATCCAATGAGATGCGGGCGATATATCCACAGCCAGAACCGTTTCCCCGATGTCACTGCATTACACTTCCACTCGTGTTTAACTGTAATTCACACAAATCGGCACACGTGATTTAACGAACAACACTGCAAAGTCTTGTCACTCACAAACTAGGGCGTAGACAGGGGATCTGGTCCACTGCACAGCACTACAATCTCTTGGACTTCTTCCAATAAAGCGTGGGAAATTCAAACTTCCTCCAAAAAGACAGATTTACACCTCATGAAGTCTCATCACATCCTCCAAACAGATTTCTCATATCACAGTCCAAACATCAACAGCACTTATCTCTTATCCACCACGGTTCTCCTCTTCTCCTTCTCCTTCTCCTTCCTCTCCTCCCTCTCCTTCCTCTCCCTCCTCCTTTCCTCCTTTCATCCTGTGTTGTCCATCCTTTCCTCCTCTTCCTGCTGTCAGTCCTCCTCTGCTCTCCCCTCTCTTGTGTTGAAGATGAAATATCCTTTTATCCTTCCCAACTGACAACGTGTCCCAATCGCGATCGCGATAGTCTTGTCCCGCACCTGTTTTGAATTAACTAATAATTCTCCGTCTCCGCTCGGAGTTTTCCGGAACTAGAGTCTTCCGGGTCCCACACCGGAAATCCCTCCCCTCAGAAACCCGTCCATGATAAAAGGTTCCGCCTGCCTTTTTGTCACCCCGGTGACATCCCCCCCTGCCATTCGGGACTAGTCCCTAGGACCGGGAACTTCAGCCCACTCGCCGTATCGCTGGGGTGGTCTCCCCTCTTCATCGGCCCCCGTGAACCTGTGGCTGCTTCAACTCGCGGTGGCAAACCCTGCCGACTACGCCACTTTTGTCACCGGGGAGGCCGGACGCCGGATGACCGGCCGTCCCAACCCCCTCCGACACACGTGCCACCGCGAGGAGCCAACACCACAGAGGACACAGAGGCCAAGTCAGTTAGAGAAAATCACAGTCTTTATTGAATAAATTAAGTTAAAACGGCCTCCAGCCAGCTGAAGGAAGGTGAAGTTTCAGCCGTATAGCTGGCTCTTCTCAAAACTCAGGTAGGCAGAGCAGGTGAGGGTTCACAGCTGGACTGGTTCTCTCGAATTCACAGCAGAACAGTTTCTCTTTTCACAGGATTCGGATGGACGGAGAAGAGTACGGAATCCACAGCCAAGCTGGCCCTCTTCTCAGGACCCAGGCCGACAGAAGACAGGTGAGGATTCAACGGCATAACTGGTTCTCTCAGTTTCACAGCAAAGCTGGCCCTCCTCTCAGGACCCAGGCCGACAGAAGACAGGTGAGGATTCAACAGCATAACTGGTTCTCTCAAGTTCCACAGCAAAGCTGGCCCTCTTCTCAGGACCCAGGCCGACAGAAGACAGGTGAGGATTCAACAGCATAACTGGTTCTCTCAAGTTCCACAGCAAAGCTGGCCCTCTTCTCAGGACCCAGGCCGACAGAAGACAGGTGAGGATTCAACAGCATAACTGGTTCTCTCAGGTTCCACAGCAAAGCTGGCCCTCTTCTCAGGACCCAGGCCGACAGAAGACAGGTGAGGATTCAACAGCATAACTGGTTCTCTCAAGTTCCACAGCAAAGCTGGCCCTCTTCTCAGGACCCAGGCCGACAGAAGACAAGTGAGGATTCAACAGCATAACTGGTTCTCTCAGGTTCCACAGCAAAGCTGGCCCTCTTCTCAGGACCCAGGCCGACAGAAGACAGGTGAGGATTCAACAGCATAACTGGTTCTCTCAAGTTCCACAGCAAAGCTGGCCCTCTTCTCAGGACCCAGGCCGACAGAAGACAGGTGAGGATTCAACAGCATAACTGGTTCTAGTCTCAGGATCTAGCTGAACAGGGAGGAGTAAGGATTCAACAGCGAAGCTGGCTCTCTTCACGGGGCTCAGGCAGACAGAGAATACAGGTGAGAATTCAACAGTGTCACTGGTTCTACTCACAGGATCCAGCAGAACATGGAGGAATAAGGATTCACCAGCAAAGCTGGCTCTCTTCACGGGGCTCAGGCAGACAGAGATTGACGGTGCGGGTTCAACAGTGTAGCTGGTTCTACTCATAGGATCAAGCAGCACATGGAGGAGTAAGGATTCAACAGCAAAGCTGGCTCTCTTCACAGGGCTCAGGCAGACAGAGAGTACATGTGAGATTTCAACAGTGTAACTGGTTCTACTTACAGGATCCAGCAGAACATGGAGGGGTAAGGATTCAACAGCAAAGCTGACTCATGCAGGCAGAGTGTCAAGCTGGCAATTCAACAGCAAACTGAACTTCACAATCCTACGTAGAGATTAAAGAGGAGAAAAGAAGAATTTCACCACTAGATGACTTCCTCCATCCAATGAGATGCGGGCGATATATCCACAGCCAGAACCGTTTCCCCGATGTCACTGCATTACACTTCCACTCGTGTTTAACTGTAATTCACACAAATCGGCACACGTGATTTAACGAACAACACTGCAAAGTCTTGTCACTCACAAACTAGGGCGTAGACAGGGGATCTGGTCCACTGCACAGCACTACAATCTCTTGGACTTCTTCCAATAAAGCGTGGGAAATTCAAACTTCCTCCAAAAAGACAGATTTACACCTCATGAAGTCTCATCACATCCTCCAAACAGATTTCTCATATCACAGTCCAAACATCAACAGCACTTATCTCTTATCCACCACGGTTCTCCTCTTCTCCTTCTCCTTCCTCTCCTCCCTCTCCTTCCTCTCCCTCCTCCTTTCCTCCTTTCATCCTGTGTTGTCCATCCTTTCCTCCTCTTCCTGCTGTCAGTCCTCCTCTGCTCTCCCCTCTCTTGTGTTGAAGATGAAATATCCTTTTATCCTTCCCAACTGACAACGTGTCCCAATCGCGATCGCGATAGTCTTGTCCCGCACCTGTTTTGAATTAACTAATAATTCTCCGTCTCCGCTCGGAGTTTTCCGGAACTAGAGTCTTCCGGGTCCCACACCGGAAATCCCTCCCCTCAGAAACCCGTCCATGATAAAAGGTTCCGCCTGCCTTTTTGTCACCCCGGTGACATATATATCATAATATCATTTTAAATGATTATGTATTTCTTTTATAAAAAAAAAAAAAAAAAAAGTATATTCATTGTTACTTAATCATTTATTGACATAAATGTATTCTTTGTGCTTTTGCTTGTGAAATAATATTCTTAAATGCATGCTGATGTACATGCACGTCACCAGCTTCTTTTAGGTGCACAAGGCCATTTGTCTCTTTCTCTGGTCTCAGGAGGAAGGTTTATGGATCCTAAAGGCGTCGTGAACACATATGTCCAACACATATGATACTTCTCTGTACAGATGGTCAAGCTATATTGAGCATTGCTTTATTGAACTTTAATTGTTATATTAAACTGTATTCTTTCTATTATATTTGCTTTCTGAGAAGCAAATGTTATCTGTTTTTCTCCCAAACGAGTGAATGTTTTACCATTATGTTTTGGTACACTTAACTGATAATAAGACGCTCAGACTCTCTTCAGTCTTGATAGGAGCTCCTATTTGCTAGTGTCCTATGTGAATGCGGTAACAGTGAAAATAATAGGGAAATAGGGATTTTGGTTTATGTTTGAGTGTTAAAACATAAAGGGGTCATTGAAGCCAACAGTTTAAGGCACTATTTCTTTGTTAAAGTCTTACTCCAGTTAGACAAAGGTTTAGTGCTAGTCTTCTTAGTTGCAGGTTAAGGAACCACTGCCATTATTGGAGATTGAATGAGTTGTTGTTCTGGACACACTGGCGCCAGCAACCCAAATCTATGACCTGGAAGGTCATGACGTGCCTCATCGATGGAGATATGTTTCGTCTATCTGTATATGTGTGGAAAATTACTGTGTTTATCTATATCGTAGCCAATGAGAATCATTCAACGTGTAAGCAATGACGTAGCTTAGACCTTGGAAACAGTATAACTGCCGTGATCTTTGTAACTGTAAGGGGGCGGCCTACGAACTCCTGAGTGAGTCTTGAAGCTGACTTCTGCTGATGAAATGGCAAACTATGTTCAGTAAAACTTTCTTTAATTTTTTATAATTCTGACTCCGGGTCTTCATTCTTCATATCTGGTTCTGGGTCCTTTAACTGTTAACCCCTAACACTTTCACTAGCTGACAGACTGACACAGAAAAAGTAGATCTGCACTTCTTCAGCTGCCTATCTAGACAGTATTTTAAGGCATCATAGCTTCATCATGCTACGTATACCTTACAAGATCATTTTGATTTCACAAAAATCGCTGCAAAAGATGCTTTCCAACAGGTTTTATTGTAGTGTTTGTCCAATTCCATTTTCTTCCTGTTTTTGGTCGAAGTGCACAGTAGTCGATTATCGAGTTTGCGTGCGCGATCCTTAGTTATCTAGTTACCAATGATCGCGCACGTGAACTTGACAATTTATTAACTTCGACCGAAAACAGGAAGAAAATGAAGTCGGACAAAAACTACGATAAAACCTGTTGGAAAGCATCTTTTGCGGCGATTTTTGTGTGAGCATATCAGTGAACACCCCAGACCACTCGGTGAGTTTCACGTCTTTGTAAACTAAAGTTTTAAGCGTTTTTATGAATGATTGTTCGAGTGCACCTATGCTACCATTGTAAAGGTGGGGGGGTGCTAACACAGAATCCAAAAATTCTCGTGACAGGAGCATCTGTCTTAAAAACAATCTTAACCATTCTTAAAACAGGGCTTTAATTGTAAAATACCGAACTTGTCCTTTAAAATGGGCTTCACTTGTCTCAATGTAGTTCCAATGACATGGCTCTTTCCACTTCTTATACTGTCTATGTGAACTATCCCTTTAAGTGATTCAAAATATTGACTTTCAATGCAGACTAATAGATCTGCTGCATTGCAGTATGTCAATAATATTAATGCATTATACTGTTTACTTGAATAATTACTGCAGCAATGTTCACTTCATTGAGAAATGCTTGAAGACTACATGCCATTGTTGTAATTTAATCAGTTCATATTTACATTAATATTGAATTTAATAATGTAGACCGTTTAATACAATAGAATAGAAAAGTATGACAACTCTGTCCTAGACAGCTTTTTACCATTAGAAATAGATAAGGCACTAAACCCCTCACTACTTGTAGATAATGCGCTTTGATATTTGGTTTGGTAAATGTTTGCACTGTGGTCCAGCTCTTCTAAAGTCAATATTATTCATTTAACTGTGAGGTCGGTACACAAATCAGGTTTATCATAAGAACAGCCATGAATATAGATGAGGAAATCACTCACTGGGACGCGCTCTGTTCTGAATTCCCTTGTGTGATTTGATGGCAGGTGAAGCCATTGAAGACCACTTGAAGGAACGCAGCACACAGCTACTATTGATTATAATGCCATTTAAAAGTCTGATGGCATGTCAGATGAGAGTTATGCTTTATTTACTTCTGGCTGTTGTGTTGGCGCTGCTGAATAAGCCTCCCCACGTTCCTCCGCTCAATGCACAGGCTGCTCATAATTAATCACAGACCTCTGGGTGACTGGACTGAATGTGACCTTTACGCTTCAGCTTCACAGGGACAAAATGTTACTTTTGCATATTATGTTTGGCAAGTCAGTCACCCTCAATGAAATTTAGTTAATGGGTTGCATTAAAGTGTGCACAGAAAAGGAACGTTCAGACCATCAGAATTTCTTTCTAAAGGTGTAGCAACAATAGACTTTGTTCTCCATTCACTTCTAGAGAGCAGAAGTTTTTACGCGCGTAACGCGTCTTTGCATTGACTTAACATTGAAATCATTCGTGCCTGACGCGCTATTCGTGACAGAAGACTTTCTGCTAGGGTCACCGTGATTTTGCCAAGTAAAACATATTTTGTTGTTCCTGGATCAACATTCCTGTCCCAAAATGTAGTCCTTGCCCATTCCCTTCCCCTAAACCTAACCCTACCCATAACTTTTTCCCAAAATCAGAGGGTAATGATACACTCTCCGAAAAAAAAGGTACAAAAGCTGTCACTGGGGCTGTACCTTTTCAAAAGGTACACTTTTGTACATATTAGCACCTGAAATGTACATATTCGTACCTAAAATGTATATATTAGCCCCTGAAATGTACATATTAGCACCTGAAATGGACATATTAACACCCGAAATGGAAATAGCTCATGAAATGGACATATTAGCACCTAAAATGTACATATTACAACCTAAAATGGACATATTAGCTCCTGAAATGGACATATGAGCACCTAAAATGTACATATTAACACCTGAAATGTACTTATTAGCACCTTACATGCACATATTAACACCTAAAATGTACATATAGCACCTGAAATGTATATATTAACACTTAAAATGTATATATCAGCACCTTAAAATGTACGTAGTACCTGAAATGTACATATTAGCACCTAAAATTGACAAAAGTTTACCTTTTGAAAAGGTACAGCCCCAGTGACAGCTTTTGTACCTTTTTTCATTTAATGTTTAATGTTTTTTTTTTTTTTTAAGTTTAAAAGGTTTTGATTTTTGGTTATGTGTGGTTTCAGTTGGTTTTAAATGTTATGCAAAATTTTATTTCTGCATTCATCTCATGTCATAATGTGAGACATAAAATATTATTAGACATAAAATTTAACCTCCTTTCCTCATTTTTAGAAGAATTATGTAATAGCGTAAAACATGACATGACATCCACCCTGTTGTGTCAATTTGAAAAATGTTAAATACATTTTAAACTATTAAAAAATTATTAAATTAAACTGCTGCACTGTAAAAAAATTTTTTCAAGATTTGTTATCACAACATATTTTCTTTTGTCAAATCAACTTTATAATAATTTATTTAGTTGAGATAACTTATTATTTTGAGTTTCTGATGATTAAATTAATCTCCTTCATTGTATTAACTCACTTTTTCCAGTTCAATCAACTTAAAATTTGAAGGCAACCAGGTTACTTACTTTTTTAAGTTAAACCAACACTATTTTTACAGTGTAGTAATCACAACATTTTTTCTTTTGTCAAATCAACTTAAATAATTTATTTAGTTCAGATAACATATAATTTTGAATTTCTGATGATTAAATCATTCTCCTTCATTGTATTAACTAAATGTTTCCAGTTCAATGAACTTAAAATTTTAAGGCAACCCAGGTTACTTACTTTTTAAGTTAAACCAACAATACTTTTTTTTACAGTGTGTAGACTGCTAGATTAGAGTTGGGGTTTGGATTAGACTAAGTTGACATGTTGCAAAGTTACTTATAGTAAGTAAATATCTGGGAGCATCACATAAAATGTTAGGACATATTAAGCAAACGGTCTACTAATAATTTCATGATAATTAGTCG